CAGCAGGTGGCCAGGAGTGGCCACTGCACTCCAGTCTGGGCGACAGAGGAAGACTCCAACTCAGAAAAAAAAAAAAAAGAAAGTAGAATTTCCCTGGAAACCCTCAATCCCCATGAGCAACAGTGACATAAACTTCAACATAAGCGTCTTGACCTCTTTAGGAATGCTGGTTGAGACAGAAATCAAACATATTTTTATGCGTCTTGAGAGATTCCATGCTCTGATATAAAACTCTAGTATAAAACTCATGTACAAATTTAAGGAAAGTAAAAACCAATTTTTACTTGTTGGATTCCCTTCCCAACAATTTTCTCCTTTATAAAAAAATAACTGTGCTCTGATGGGATTTTTGTTTTAATGGCAAGATGAAACTATAATCATCGTTTTCCAGAAACATCCCCTATGGACTATGACAGCAAGGTGCCATGGGAAGCAGGATGATTTTTCTCGGAGTACAGTCCCAATAGGCTCTTTATTTTGAAATTTTCTCCTATTTTTAATTAAAATAACTTTTATTTTCCTATTACTAAATTTGCATTTGTTTAATTTAGGAAAAAATTATATACAATATACTGAAAGAAGAAAATAAAAATGACCAGGACTCCATCACTAAGAAATAATCGCTAGTCACCACTTGGCTTATACATTTATGGTCATTTCTCAGGTATATAAACAGTTATTTTATTTACAAAAATGAGAAAGTAATGGTTTATTTTTCTATTAAAACCTATTTTAACCAGACTCGGTGGCTCAGCCTGTAATCCCATGCCTTTGGGAGGCTGAGGTGAGTGGATTGCCTGAGCCCGTGGGTCCGAGACCCGCCTGGGCAGCGAGACCTCATCTCTACAATAAATCAAAAAATCAGCCTGGCGTGGTGGCGCGCGCCTGTAGTTCCGGGTACTCGGAAGGCAGAGACGGAAGGATCGCCGGAGCCCAGCAGGTCGAGGCTGCGGTGGCGGGAGCAGCCACTGCACTCCAGTCTGGGCGACAGAGTGAGACTGCAACTCAAAACAAAAAACAAAAAAACTATTTTGGGCGGGCTGCACTTTGGGAGGCCAAGGCAAGTGAATTGTCTGAGCCTGCCGGTTCAAGACCAGCCAAGGCAACTCGGAGAGACCTCGTCTCTACAATAAATCAAAAAGGTGGTAGTGCGCACCTGTAGTTCCGGCTACTCAGAAGGCTGAGGCAGAAGGATCGCCGGAGCCCAGCAGGTCGAGGCTGCGGTGGCCGGGAGCGGCCACTGCACTCCAGTCTGGGCGACAGAGTGAGACTCCAACTCAAAAAAAAAACCAAAACCTATTTTTTTCCCACTTATATCACAAACATTGCCATGTATTAAAAATTCTTTTGCAATTTTTTGGGGGGAAACGACATACACATTTATCTAAGATATATACACAGGAGTCTTCAGAGTGAAGACCCAAAGATATAGGGGACAGTGTTCTTTTTTTCTTTTTTTTTGAGTCTGAATCACTCTGTCACCCAGGATGGAGTGCAGTGGCACACTCACAGCCACCGCAGCCTTGACCTATTGGGCTCAGGTGATCCTTCTGCCCCAGCCTTTCAAGTAGCTGGAAATACAGGTACACGCCACCATGCCCAGCTAATTTTATTTATTTATTTATTTACTTTTTGAGTCAGAGTCTTACTCTGTCGCCCAGGCTGGAGTGCAGTGGCATGCTCACAGCCACTCCAGTGTCTACCCACTGGGTTCAGGTTATCCTTCCACCTCAGCCTTCCAAGTAGCTGGAACTACAGATATGTGCTAGCTACCATGCCCAGCTAATTTTTTGATATATTGTAGAGATAAGTCTCACCAAGTTGCCCAGGCTGGTCTCAAACCTCTGGGCTCAGGCAATCCTCTTGCCTCAGCCTCCCAAAGTGCTGGGATTGCAGGCTTGAGCCCGGCCTTTATTTATTTATTTATTTATTTATTTATTTATTTATTTATTTGAGTTGGTGTCTAACTCTGTCGCTCAAGCTGGCATGCTTTGGCATGCTCATAGCCACTGCAGTCTCAACCTGCAGGACTCAGGCGATCCTTCCACCTCAGCTTTCCAAGTAGCTGTAACTACAGGCATGCGCCACCACGCCTGGCTAATTTTTTGATTTATCATAGAGAGGAGGTCTCACTAAGTTGCCCAGGCTGGACTTGAACCCCTAGGCTCAGGCAATCCTCTCGCCTTGGCCTCCCAAAGTGTTAGGATTACAGGTTTGAGCCACCATACCCAGCTTTATTTGTTATTTAATTTTTTTGTAGATACAGGTCTCATTATGTTGCCTAGGCTGGTCTTGAACTTCTGGTCTCAAACAGTCCTCCTGCCCTCAGCCTCCCAAAGTGTGGATATTATAGGCGTGAGCCACCATGCCTGACCTAGAATTTGTCATAATATAATCTTTACTTGAAAGGTTTGACAAGAATAGAGAGGAAATGATACTATGTTGTCCAAATGTTATCACTGTTAGGATAATATTTGTTTCTGGTGAAGAATTTGGTCAGGAGCATTCCTCAGGACATAGAGGCCAACATTCTTTTCTTGGTGGGAATGAGGAGGAAACACTCCCAACCCTGAGTGTACTAACTCAGGAAAGCACTATGGTTCATTACCTTTGTCTGACTCTTCCAGCATCTGAGAAGAGAATATTTATGGGGAATAGCAACTGTCTTTAATTTAGAAAGGCAATGGTTGGAGTCTCACTCTGTCACCCAGGCTGGAGTGCAGTGGCATGCTTAGGGCCACCGCAACCTCCACCTGCTGGGCTCAGGTGATCCTTCCACTTCAGCCTCTCCAGGTAGCTGGGACTACAGGCATGTGCCACCTCGCCTGGCTAATTTTTTGACTTTTCTTTTTTTTTTTTTTTTTGTAGAGATGAGATCTTGCAATCTCACTATATTGTCCAGGCTGGTCTTGAACTCCTGGGCTCCAGTGATCCTTCCGCCTCAGCCTCCCAAAGTGCTGAGATTACAGGCATGAGCA